AATATTATTGTGTGTGGCAGGATAATTTCTCAAAAAGGAATTATACCATCTATTTTCTGTTTCTGGCCAAACGACTACGCTCATTGATTTAACACACGGCGGCTGTTTATCCAGGATTCGCTCCTCAAGCCGCTGCCATAAAATACTGTCAAAGTTGCACACCTGTGTATAATCCTTATGGGTGGGGTTGCATCGCGCTTATGAGTGGCGTGCTTCGACCGTCACCAAATGAGAATTTAACATAAGGGCGACAATATCAAGATAAATTCAGTTCCAATTTTCCAAAAGGGTGAAACTGTTTTTGTCAACAATGACTTTAGTCGTAGGTTTATCGTGAACAGTATTATAAGCAGTCACATAGTTTGATAAAGGAGGTTTCTTTAGTCATTAATCAGTTCAGTACAGTACAGTTGGGATTCCTATCGTCACAATAAATGATGATCAAAAACCGTCATTATTTGATGCTTTCAAATCTTCAAATCTTGCCTTTGGTGAATGAATCAAGGAATCAGACAAAAAAGCCATGACCTTCACCTTACCCCCTTTAACTCACCATCTCCACCAACATACACCAATTCATCACTACACAAGGCACACATTCCAACTTACCCTTTGTAAGGGGTCGTGCAATCATTACGTTAAATCTTTATTGAGATTTACAACCCCCACGCCCCCTTATTGTAAGACTTATTAATAGTTAACAAAACACCCTCCTCCTCCATTTTGCATGATGAGTATTTAATTGATCAAGTATTAATTTTGGTTTTATGAGGGTACTGTAGATCATGATTTAGGGGCTGTGCAGGGGCCCCGCTCCCCCCGCGTTGACAATCGCCCGTACTTATTTTTTACATTTGTATGCAGCGTTGCCAGTATTACAGATTTATCTGTTTTTATAGATGTTCAGTCGTCTTGCCAGATACACAGACAGATCACGTTTATTTCCAGAACTTTTAAATATGTTCCAGATTTTCTCAGATTTTAAAAATTTGTTGCTTTATAAATATCACTGCAATTAATGGACCCTCTAATCATAAAATAAAAAGCCAAACTTACTACTGTAATTACTAAAGACCATCAACGTTGGACATAATTGCAACATCATACATGGGGGACACTCCTCACCATCCCTCTCCAAAGGGGGAGTTTGGTAAAGAGAGATGATTAAACTGATTTGTACCTTCCTAAAAGTTGTCTAGCTCGCTTTCTACTTCTATATGCAATTTTCACACTGCCGTACTCTAAACGGAACTATCAATTCTATACCTTCATCTCCTCATCTATCGCATAAAAATTACCACTTTAGTCTGTTATTTGAAATTAGTACCTTCAACTATACTTGGAAACTATTTGCATATCAAGCGAAAACGTAGTCCTGTATTGTCGCGAAGCGTTATGGTTCTGAGATGCTCGATGACCCTGGAGGGATCGTTTTTGCTTACAGAGCAGTAAATCATGGGTTTAATCCCAAGCTCTCCGTCATGACTCTTAAAATTCATGATCACTAAACAAAATGAATATGTTCTTTCGATAGCCGGCTATCGAGAGATTAAATAAACAACAAATAAACAATACATACTTTTGGTTGCATTGCCAACTTGAGGTGAATCCTAACCGAATACCCTACTCAACCCTCCAACTCCGTAGCACTTATGAGGGTGTCGCTAAGTCGGTGGCCTCTCGTTAAGTAAGTACTACATCAACATTTCCTTCCCTATCCCTAGTTATGGTAAAGATGAGCGTGGCCGGGAATAGCGACAGTCATGCTTCTGTTACTCTTGTTTAGATTGGAACCAATGTTTACTCCCCAGCATTATTCCTGAAAGTAGTCTAACTGAGAATTTCAGAAGAGACGTGAGTGTCGCTAGTAATCTACGAAGTATATCATAACAACGCTAACGCTAACGCTAACGTCGCTCCCGTTCCAAAAATACCCATATTGTAAGGTACATATGTGTAAACAAACTTTCTAAGGTACTTTACTAGCTAACCAAAGTACGCCTACGCAAACCAATACCAGTTTCGGAAAGGTGAGAGTTGTCCCTATCCGATAATGTTGTTGGTTTGCGTGAGCGTACTTCGGTTCACGTGTGAAGGGCCTTAAAAAGTTTGTTTACAAAAGCTTTTGTGCCGTTATCAAATGTCACGCCTGATTTGACAGTTTATCTGAACACAATGGCCGCCATCTTAGATTCTAAAATGGCGTCGGACATCGATTTTCGGCATCTACCTGTCGTCCCCGATCCAATAATACCTATATTGTAGGGTATTTTATAGTTTTTCTGAAGTCAACGGGCGCCATATTGGATTCCAAAATGGCATCAGACACAGGGAATCAAGAAAATGCTGTCTACCGATGCATACCGACCATAAAAATACTAGTAAACGGAATCATGATCAGTGTACAGTAAGATCATGGATTATCATTTGTGCAACACATCATGATCAGCAACAAAAACGATAATCTACTGATATGATAACTATCATTTTGTAATGTATCTCGAAATCTAGGAACTTGCTGTCTTCGGAAAAGTAGTTCTAGATGTCAAATACCCTACAATAAATATATTTTTGGAATCGGGATTACACATATATTTTGAAAATCAATAGAGGGCGCCATTTTGAAATCCGTCATCTCGGCTGTTGGTTTCGGAAAAAAAAACTATCAAATACCTACAATATGGGTATTTCTGGAACTGGAATAACGTGTAAATATCGAAAATCGATGTCCACCGCCATTTTGGAATCCAATTTGGCGGCCTTTGGTTTTAGATAAAATTGTCAAATAAACTAGTCAAAATGGCGGCCGACATCTACACGTCATCCCGGTTTCACAAAATTCCCATAATGTAGGGTACAGTTGTTTTTAAAACCAATAGCCACCATCTTGGATTCCAGAATACTGGCAGATATTAATTTTCTAAATCTGTATGTCAACCCTGTTCCGAAAATACCAATATTGCAGGGTAATTGACAGTTTTTTTTTTCTGAAATCGATGGCCATCATCTTGGACATCAATTTTAGACAGTTTTTTTTTTATGGAATGCACCCATATTGGGTTCCAAAATGGCGGCAAACATCGATTTTTGATCTCTAAATGCATCCCCATTCCGAAAATACCCATATTATAGGGTATTTGTGTAGCCTTGTCCTACATGGGGAATTTTCAGTGACGACAGCTGATGATGATGATCAGAGATTATCGCTATTTCATATGATCATGATCTGTTACACAAATGATAATCGCATTATCGTTTCCAGAACTGTCCATTGTGATTTATGGATTTGTACTAATCATTAGTGTAACCAAAATGAGAATGCCATTATCTTTATCTGAATCGTTGATTTTGATTCCCTGATTTGTCTGATTCAGACATCGATTTTCAGAATGTATGCGTTGTACCCGTTCTGAAAATACCCATATTGTAGGGTATTTGACAGATTATCTGAAAACAATGGCCACCATCTTGGATTCCAAAATGGCGTCGGAGATCGATTTTCGGCAGCTTCCAGTAATGTCCGTTCCAAAAATACCCATCACTAGAAATCACTTAGATACTTGCAAACACGAAGTTCAGTGCCAAGATTCAAGCTCCTTCGAGTCAGAGGTGAAATCCCGTCAAAACAACACAATTCCAGTTATTTCCATCTTGTTATGTCTCGTATTCAAAGCGACATGCATTGACAAGAAAACGACCAGCGCCAGCTTTGTCAAGACAGAACGCGAGAATGACATGACAGACTTTTTTCTTCAATAACCATGTCAACAGTTTCCGGCAATCTTGTCGCACAACGTACGTGATACAGCTAACTCGTTCTGGAAAACGTCACGCAACAAATGTTTTGTGACCAAATGAGAGAAAGACAGGAATACAAAATGTTTCTTCGAGAGACAGTCCACACGGAAATGAAAAACTACCCAAATTTGAGTTGTTTTGACTCAACTGCGGAGTTCTAATTTTGAGTATAATCGATAAACCTAATTTTAGGTAAAATGCAGATACTACTTAAAAGGTAGCTTTAACCGGTCTAAAAATAACTGAAATGAGAGTAAAATTTACTGACCTTTGGGTAAAAATCTATAATTGGGTTAAAAGCTCAGGTAATATAAATTAATAATAGGGAGTTGGTTGGAAATGCTAACATGAAGCTTTAGTGTGATGATTTATTAGCTAGAGAATGGTTTTTTAGAAGAGGGTAGGTGGATAGTTCCGTTAGAGTACGGCAGTATGAAAATTGAATAGAAGTTAAAAATGAGCGAAGGGCCATTAATGTAATAGTTTTTTGATGATAGACGCACATCTTTTGCAACACAATAGTTGGGTAAAGAAGAATTGCATTATAACACACCATCGACTGGAAATGCTCTCGCAACGTTGGGCTTTAGGTAGTGATGAAAACGTCGCTAGAACTATTCCAGAGCCGCAGTCAGTTTATGAGCAAAAGAGGGACGCACATTTTTTGCCTGTAGACTTGAAGACATACTTCAAGTCTCCACGTACATCGTACGGGTTAGGCAAAAGATGTGCGTCTATCTTCAAAAAAACTGTCGCATTAATGGCCCTTCGCTCATTTTCAACTTCTATTCAATTTTCATACTGCCGTACTCTAATGGAACTATCCACCTACCCTCTTCTAAAAAACCATTCTCTAGCTAATAAATCATCACACTAAAGCTTCATGTTAGCTGACTTCGCTAACTTCACGTATGAAGTAACATAAAAACACTTTGAATTTAATAATAGTGAGTTAAACCAAATTAATGGGAAAGAATGGGATTTCGTGCCTTATTTAATTACGGCAGGTACGAGTATTTGTTCATGTCATCCGAAAACGAAACATATTTCCCTTATTTTATTTTGTGTTGATTTCTCTGATATGCTCAAAACAAATAAACGCTCTCATAAAATACTAAGCAATGCAATTTTATTGTTTTTGAGAATAATGAATACAATGCAATATAATCATTTTATTAGAGGAAGAGTTTAAACACATGAAATTAATTATGCAATGGATTTTTCAGGTACTCCTTGAAGCGATAAGACAAATCTGTAACGGTTTTGAACTTACTTACGGTTTTAGATCCCCAAACATTAACTGAGATCATAGCATCCAGTTTTCGCAACAACACGGGTACTTCAGTACCAAAAACAACAAATGATATGAATAAAACTTCTACAGCCCGTACACTTGAGCTTCCACATGCAATAACGGATCCTTTGAACAAGACGTAATAATTTCCCTGTTTGAAACATTCGGCAACGCAGATAATGTGGGGCTCCGCTACGGACTGTGTCTGTCTTACTGGCAATAGTTCATCGAATCCGGGTTCCAGATGATTAAAGCTGATCCACCTTATCAAGGGTTCAGCGGCCAGTGCCGTGATGCAAGCATTTTGCGAGCTGCTGGATCTTTTGATGCCTTTGTTCGAAAGTACCTTCGTTAGACGCAATGCTCCTCTGAGTACATCTACAAGAAATAAATAAAAACAACACATGAGAACATGACCGTAGTGCAGAACATTCAGTGTTCCTACCATCCTCCACTTCGAACCAACTGGATTTGACGCACAACAATCCTACACGAAGCAGCGTGTACAACAAAGGTCCATTACTCGGTTGTTTCTGAAGCCGATCGAATGCCTGAATGATCTAAAACAAACAAGGGAGAAATATAAATGATAATATGTCGACACCAACATTCCACAACGCGTAGTGTTTGTACCCATGCAAATTAACACCACAAACTAACAGGAAGGGGAGGGTTGCGGTTATTGTAGCTGGATTATGTATACGTAGGGGTAAGAGGGGCATAGTGAGCATCCCGTGCACCAGCTTGGTCTTCCGGCCGTTCGGAACAAATTGGTTGGTGGTAGGATTAATATCATAATGGTATTGAACCTACTACCAGTTGATTTGTTTCATGCAGCTGGAGATTCAGAGCCAAAGTGCGAAATGCTCACTATGCCCCTCCTGCCCCTATATAGGCCGATTTATGGGAAGCTCATATGTTGGTCATATTAAAATTAATTTACTAACCCTTTCACCGTAATAAGAGAGGAAATGTGGGAAGGTGTCAATGATGTCTTGGTATCGGGTTGGTGTATTTTTCTGCAACATCGATTCATGAAGCTCGTGCGCTTGCAACATGCCATCAGCAATCTGTTTAATGTTTGCTGGTGTAGGGCTCAGTGCAGAAATATGCGCAGCAATACTGATTTGTTCTTCACTGACAAAAATTTTCTTATTTTTTACGCGCCGAAACTTGCGATCTTCAGGAGATATGTCTTTACGCATATTTGCTACCCTAGTTTCGATTAATCCAGTGTGGCAACCAGTGTTCATTCCACCATAAACCCAGAAAAAGTACGACTGTAATGAGACAAAATAAAATACAATATTATCATTAAAGATGTCAGTAGACGTGATAACATATTGGTACAAAATCTAGTAACTAACTAAACCAAATTTATTAGATGAATATATATTCAGAGCAATCTGCAAAAGAGCTGATTTTGATAACTACATAGATAGATACATGACAGACCGTTATGTTGGATTATCAAAGCGTTACCTAATGAGCGTAGTTACAAGTTACTGAAAAATCTACCATCTTATCAGATACCTAGTAAAACCAGTTTTTATGTTTTGGATATAAATTGCGTGGTTTGAAAAAGTGGTTCCTCAAAATGGTGTTACCTCCCCGGGTGCACTTTCTGATACACGAGTCTGCTTTAGATGGGGGAATTCTTCTACGATTTGCACAGCAAATTTTTGCTTGTCTGGCCAAGTGGGATATCTGAAATCATAAAATAAAATAAAAATGAAATTGAAACGATAGTTATGACAAGTTATGACACCACGATTTTGGGTGAAATTTAGCTACTTTCATATATTTCACGCAACCCCTGTATGTTGAACATACATAGTATTGTCAGTAATGTAGCAGTATTAACTACAGCGCACTATTGGCGATAGTTGCAAGTGTAGCGATAATATTGCACCTTTCCCATCAAACTGGGCTATTTGAATGACTTTAAAAAGAGCGGAAACGGTCATAAAACAGCGATTTTGCGTCTTTGGCACACTTATTCCTCATGAAGCAAGAAATAAATGCGCCGAAGGTACCGATGCAAAATCGCAGTTTGCGACCGTCCTTGCACTTTTAAAAGTCAGTTTTATAGTCTACTTTGGTGGTAAATGCACAATACATATGGGTCATTCCGCGCCAAGTGGTCACAAAAAATTGCAAAAGTGAAATTGACCTCTTCCGATTTGGACCAAATTTGGAGGGAATGTTCATTTAAGTTCGAATTCTAAAATTCCAAAGTTGTATGCTGATCGTAGCACCCCTCGATCAAGGGGCACATTTTTCATTTTTCATTATTTTTAAGAAACCACTACTTTCTTTTGTTCATATCTCCGGAACAAATAAAGCTACAAATTGCATTAGGTATTGTTTTAATAAGGAAATTAGACAAGAAATGTAAATCTGTAACTTTTGTTTCTGTACAGTGTTGCCAAATATTTTTTTATTGTTGTTTGAAAACTTTAAATGAATTTTTCTCATAATACATTTCGTTTAATTTTCATTTTAAGGACACCATCGTGTTCTTCATCCTTTTTTACATAAGAAACACTTAACGACAAAAAGTAATTTGCGTAGTTCCTGAGATATTGCATTTTGAATGAACGAAAGTCAAAAATTATGAGGGTTATTTTTTTAACGTTTCCTCGTAATAAGATTCCTTCTCATGACTTACTTTGTTAAATAATACTTGATGGAAACAAAATATGTATGATAAAACCAATAAAAGTTTTTATGCAGTGTTGACAAATTTAAATATTATTTAGTGGCTGAAAACTTTACACTAGTAATAATCTAAACGAATTGCATTATAAATTATGACATTCCAAAACATAAAATACTGTATCAAACACTGATCGATTTGTTTCTTACATTTTATTATAACAATGTAAAATATAAATTACAATTTACTTATTTTTCTTCTTAAGGCTAGCACTTCATGATGATTTCTTCCCATTATTATTCAAATCCACTTGCTTTGCACGTTTCGTTGCCACAACTCTAAAATCTGAACCAGTTGTGGCACCTGAAACAGTTTTCATAATAATGGTATCAATACCAGAAGGAGCTGCTGCATTTATTTAACGAATACTGGGAATAGATGCAGCTGATGCAAAACGGTGGAACAGTATTTGTTTTTCTTCGGAACAGATCTCAGATGACACAAATCAAACGTTTGTATTGCAATTCTTCATTGCCCAGTCATAGAGCTCCTTTGGCGTGTGAATAGTGACTCCTTGTAAACTAGCTCGCGTTTCCAATCTCTTCAAAGTTCATCCCAATCCGTCGCTTGGTCCTTTGCCATGTGCCGTAACAAAGTAGTGCCACTGAGTGGGCACCCCAAATTTGCTTTCGTGGAAAACCAGGGTACCGCACCATCGGAGAAGTACGAGATTTTGGACAACTGTGATACCTAGGATTTGAGATACTATTTGAAATGGCGCTGGAAAGCATGAAATGTTGTTGTGCTGTGGTCTAGAGTATCGGACATTATGACGCAGTTCAATGGTACAACTTTATTCTGGTGTACAGTGTAGGCATCAAAAGTGTGAACGGTTGCCAGCAAATTATTATAATGAATTTCCTGTACACTTAAACAAAAAACAAAAGAATAGTTTTCAGAGAAATCTGCCACTACAACGACTTCACCTTCACGTAAGCTATGACAAGTGAATTTGAAAAACTCGGATTGTTTCGCTACAATATAGACATGCTTTCGTACGGCTGGGATTGAAATGAATAATTCAAGATGAATTTTACCTGCAGATGGCTGGTCATTATCCATGTTTTTTTTAACCGCCAGATGACATTGCACGCATACTTTCCGACCTTCGATAATTTTTGGCAAAGTTCTTATTGTACTCGTCATGAAATCGTGCAGAAATTGGTTTCAAACTCTTGCGACGAATAACTGTATGCAGATTCAATGGGTTGCAGCACTGTCGTTGCATTGTCGCATACAGGTCTCCATATTGCTTAGCATGGCCATCACAAACACTTTTCAGTTCCGTAACACCAGAACGAAGTTTGTAATTGTGTTCCACTATTCGGAACCTAACACTACTGTGACCAGTTATTTGATCTATTGTAGTATTTCCCGTGTCCTTAGTTTATTGCATGTCGCATTACTTCATCACTATTGAGAAATGATGAAGTATTCGATTTTTTTTTACAGTTGTCATTCTTGCATGTATCTCAAGGATCCGACTCTAATTGAAAGGTCCCGCTATTTATACCCTTCGGAGTGTTAAAACACCCTCCAAAGGCACGCCCCTTTGTCAGTCAAAATTGGATTCTTTAGCAACAAAATTAAGGAATGACACCGATATTGACCATTAGAGTGATGCAAAATTTGAAATTTTCGCTCCACAATACTTAAACGATTCCAAATCGGATCCTGACTAACCTCTCAAAATTTGAACCCATTTGGTGAGAAACTGAGATGGCACAAACCATTTGAAGTTTGTATGCGAATTACTATGGTAAAACCAAGATTTTTGTTCATGTCTATCTAATAATTCACCATATCGGTCTGCTTCAAAAACTTTCAATTTTACTTGTAGGAAATTTTTCCAGCTACAATTTTGCTGAAGACCACTTTTTGATTAAATGCAAGGATCGAAAGTTATTAATGGTTCAATGCACTGATGTCTTATGATCATGCTCAATCGACTGCTCAGCAGGCAACATTGGTGTTTCTGGGGCGTTGAATAGGACACAAAAATTATGGCTACTATGTCACACTGCAAAATACAGTGGTGCCTACAGAACAGCTGCTTGATCATGTCATAAGTTTACCAATCTCTTAAATAATTAATAACTATTTCCTGTCTTGTTTTACATAGAAACGATCTTTAGCAAAGTTGTAGCTGAGAAAATTTTCTATAAGAATAGCTATCGAGCTGTTTTGCTGCTCAATATGGAAAAAAAACTAGAAGGTAATGAACAAAAAGTTGAGATTTCCCATAGTAATTTACATGCAAACTTCAAATGGTTTGTGCGAAGTCTGTTTCTAACCAAATGAGTTGTAACTTTTGGAGGCTAATCACGACCCGATTTGAAACCATTTAAGCACTGTGGAGCTAAAAAGTCAAATTTTGCATCAGTCTATTGACCATGCATCAGAACCCTAGTCTTAACCAATTCAAACTAGGGAACAACGAATAGAAGATTAGGAATCACATAGATGAAGACTAACTAACTCATTTATTCCTTGTTTCAAGATCATCCTCGGTGGACAAAGTCGAGTCTTATCACTATCAACAAGGCATAAAAAGTAACAAGGACTAAGATGTGTTCCTTTGATTACTGAAAAATCCTGTTCCCCTAGTCTGAAGTAGTCAGGACTAGGAATCGGTTGTAGATCTTACATCCCTTATCGTACCACGAAAAGGTGATCCACCCACGTTACGGGGGGTAATTGTGTTTCTTGTGTGTTTTAGGGTGTCGGAAGGTGTTTATGGGTGTTTCTGCATGTCGACCTAGCTGTCAAAACGTTTATTGAAAATTAATGCTTACTGGCTAGCATTACATCCACTTTTGTTTATAATCAGAATTCTTTTTTTTTGCTCTCCAAAAATTTACCAATTTAATCATGCACAGTGAAAGCACGGAATTTCAGAAATAATGCACACGTCTATGTAAGCAACTTACAGGAATGCAAATTCGCATCCCTGATCGTCATCCGCAACACCTATCTAAAAGAATGTGCTGTGTATGTATGTCTGGAGTTCCACTCCGATCTCAAAAAGTACTCCCTCAGCCGTCGCATTCTTATGTCATGATGCTTGACATCCTGGCTCAAACCAGTAAAGTCTTCTCGAATCCATCCCAACCGAATTCCAGCCGCAATCAAGCCCAAATAACCAAACCGAGCACGCCCCTTGATAAGCAATCTCTGGATCTATATTTCGCAAAAAAAACAAACCTATTTGCAAGCGGCAGCTAGTAGGATGGATCTCTCTGATTATGATATGAAATCCACGACGAAAGGGCATCAAACACATTAGAAAGAAATATCTGTCTTCAGCTATCGATCAATAATTGATATGATAATTATTATCCGCTTCATAAATATACAGTTACAGATATTCTAGCTCGTTAGAGGTTCAAATTGTCTGTTTTTCAATGTTGAGCTTGATGTTGAATCTTCTTTCCTAATTGCGGGGGTGAGGGCTACTTCGGTGTCCCGATCAGTTTTTTTGTGGAATCCTACCGATTTCTGGAGGTCCCTCCTTCAGAAAAAAAAAATCAACAAAAACGAAAAAGGGCATCAAATGAATGGCAGTGCTGCCAGAAAAGATTGAAAAATTGGTTCTCATGGTGGTTGAAGGGTGTTTGAGTGTGTTGAAGAGTGTCGAAGGGTGTTTTTGATGTGTTTAACGCAAGGTGGCAAAGTGGCTTACCCCCTGAATAGAACACACCATTTTCCACTCGGTATCTGCAAACTTCTAATGTACTAGACAGATGCGCCAGAGATGCTTAAAACATTAACGCCTAATATATGAAAAAAAAAAAAATCAAAAATGTCATATTTTATACGTTAATAGATGACATCTTCAAAGACATCTATTTGATCTCGAAATTCTGGATCGTATGCAAAACATGAGCAAATTACAGTTTTGTCCTATATTTCACATTTTTGTCTTGTTTTATGGCTGACCATAAATAGTTATTTTGGCGTTCTTGTACCAAAAAATATAGATTTAGGTCCGTTGTGCACTTACCTTCTGAAAACATTTAAAATAATAGGTTTGGATATTAATTCCATTGCTTTAGAAAATGCATCAGAAAAATAAAAAACACTTTTCTTTAATTTGTTTTCCGAAAATGTTACATTGCGTTGACCTTTGTTTTAGATAGTCTATCTTATGTAAAAATGCTGTGGGACACGATGGGGCATCAAACCAAATATTTAGATGCATCAACTTTAAAAAATCACGTTTAAAGTTTTTAGTTGCTAAATAATATTTAAATTTGGTAACACTGTTCTTGGTAATGTAATCGTTTTTTTCTTTAAATATTATTTCACACAATAAGTCATGAGAATGAATCCACTTATAAAGAGGAAATGAAAAAAAAATTAAAAAAAAGTTTTACCCTCATAATTTATGACTTTCGTTCATTCAAAATGCAATATCTCAGGAACTACGCAAATAACTCTTTGTCGTTAAGTGTTTCTTATGTAAAAAAGGATGAAGAACACGATGGTGTCCTTAAAATGAAAATTAAATGACATGTATTATGACATGTATTTAAACTGCATTTAAAGTTTTCAAACAAAATAAATGGCAACACTGTACAGAAACAAAAGTTACAGATTTAGGTTTCTTGTCTAATTTCCTTATTAAAACAATACCTAATGCAATTTGTAGCTTTATTTGTTCCGGAGATATGAACAAAAGAAAGTAGTGCTTTCCGAAGAATCACGAAAATTGGAAAATGCGAACTTCGAGTGAGGTGACTCTATTTAATTTGCAGAGAAAGTCACCTCACTCGAAGTGACAATTGCCATCTCACTAATGACAAAGAGTCACTTCACGTCACTCGAACAACATAAACCTGGCAGTTTTTGTTCAATTTCATACCTTTTTTCGCGAAACATCATTTCACCAAAGAAGTGGTCAGTCAAAATCCGATTCATTTGTAGTAGCTTCTTTGCATCTGGAACCAATCCGACGTCCAATAGCTTGGTCAAGGTCTTCTGGAACTTGGTTTCTTTGGCAAGAATGGACCGCACTGTTTCTCTTCGTGGCTCAGACACATCTTGTGTGTTCTCATGTATGTTTTCAATATCATTTTCAGAAGCCTCGCGGTTCCGCTCAATAAAATTGAGTATAATCCTACGGGGACCCACTTCTGTGATGTTAATGAGGGTGAGGTCGTCAGCACTGAGGTCCCATAGTGAGATGTCATTGACAAGGTTGTCTGAAACAATATGAAAGATAAATTATGGTTTGTTATTTAAGGACTCTAAGTTGAAAATACGCACAGGAGTGCTAGTTGGGATGTAATTGAAAAATAATAAGAGGAAGAATGAATATTGTTACGCGATAAAATAAAAGTACAAATTTTAAGTTGATAATACATTTGAGTTTAATCGACCATCAAATGTCTCGCCTTTAGCTATCGATGTATTTTAAACATACAAAATCAAAGTCAGGGTCACTATCAAGATACCACAAACTGTAACATTTTCTTTTCAAGAGTTTTTTATACATTATTCTAACAACATTTGGAGATATTACCACCTTATAAGAAAACAAATGTGAATTAAAATTAATGATACTTAATTCCTGAATTACAAACAATATGTCCAGTTCGTTTTCAATCGTAGCCAAAAGTATACCATAGCATTCCGTAGAACATTTTTCAAATTTCACTACGTAGCCTGGGCAGAACATTACGCCATTCACATCTAGACAACCAATTGATTTGATGTTTGCAGGAAGATCAAACAGTAATGGAGCTGTGTCCAACAAGGTTTTTTGAAGTGTCGATGCTGAAATGATAATTGACTTGTCAACAACATAATTATGATTTAGAATTGAGTTCACCTGTTTTAGATTCAAACATTTAGTAAGACTGTAGGATAAGTTTCTAAAATTTCCACAGGTATGACTTTGACTTTTGGATTCTTTAATTTTCCTTCAAACGTCATGCAACTAAAAAAGGCAATTGGGCCGTTCTCCCGACAAATCTGTGGATAGTGAGCTATGTGATGTATTTTGTTAATGGCGTTAGTAGAGGGAAAGGCGACTTTGAACAATTTATGGAACTTAGAAATAGATTCTGATAATTCATTGATCATTACTGGTGTCAGTTTATATGAAAAACTAATGTAAGTGATTTTAAGTAAAGCTGCAATTATTTCTCGGTGCATTTCGTTGGACTCTAATACTTTACGGAACACGAATGAAAAAATACACAGTAACATCCATCACTGAGCAGCTGATTGACTTATACTATGATGTTTACTTTTCAAACTTAATTTAGTAAAATTTGCTGATGGCTTGTCCCTTACTTCCGTGTCTCCGTAATTGAAATTATCGATCAGCAAGTTTATGTCTACTACGGTTAGTGTTTTATTTAAAATTGTAATTTTCAATATGAGTTTTAAAACCATTGGAACAACGCCCTCCAGTAGGTCATGCATTGGATCTAGTGTTTGATTTGTTGGCCATCTATAGAATGAAAGCAGGTGAAGTGAGCAACTTGTTTTTATGCCATACATGCTCGATGGTTTTTGACCCATTTGGTCGGATATTAATGAGTTCTGTACAGAGTCTACTGTTCTGATGGCAAAAGAATCACCAAATTCTCCTGAAAGCAAATCCTTCCTACTGATTTCACAAACTCTGCAGAACATATTAGCAGATGGGCCTAGCATGCCATATATATCGTGAAGTGCTAATGTATCACCGAGAACATGAACCAGAACTGCTCGCATAATCCAAACGCCAGATTCCGTTCTGATTGGCACACCTTCAGGAGATTCAAGTCGTAGCAAATCATCGATCAAAACTTGCAAAACTTCGTTGTACCTGCCGGTTACGAATTATCAAAAATAAAAACCAAAATCTCAAATATCCAAACATATATACTAGCTTACCCGTATCTTTTCAGTATACTTGACTTAACCATAAGGGTCAAATAAACGCGATCGAAAGTTGAATTAATCCTCGGGTCCAGATTTTCAATTTTGAAGCAAATATTTGTCATTTTATTCTTCCCTTTACGTGAACCAAGTGCATTTCTGTATTCTCCCTCATCGATGTGAATCGAAATTCTGAGGCAGTTGATATAAGTCTGTAGAAAAGGGTGTCATTGAAAAAGTTCACCGTCTTTAAACGACTCTAATGACTCAGTTGCATTATATGACCAAAATAGATATGAAGTGAAAAACATCTTTGCGAGCTACAACTTTGGTAATGTATTCCTGTTTTCGATATTTCCGTTGGAATTTCCTTCCTCTCAAACGACTAGTAAGGACGCGACGAGTTTGTTTGTGTTTTCCCAATACAATTTCAGTTGGTTCAGGGATTGCCCGCCCAGCTATTCCACACAAATATGCAAAGTTGTCCTCTGGGGTCCTAACGTTACTCGTCAAGTCAGGAATCTCTAGATTATTTATAAGTTTTATACTGTCAGGATCATCCAACATTTTTTTGGAGGCCAAGAATAATTGTATTTGAGACATAATGTAGTGCTGAATCCAATTAGACATCGATGTATAGCCATCCAAAAATCTCGCCAATTTTTTTCAGGCAGAGAAACGTCGCATCTGAGATCAGTTATTAAAGCAGCAACACTTGATGTGGTCTGTTCTAATGTTACAGGATTTTTGTAAAAATGAGGGTTTTCAATTTTCAGTTTATGTGAAGGTTCACCGTCAACTTGTATTGGTTCTTCAATTGTAGGCTCTTTTGGCTCTAAATCAAAATCTGATAATGGATGCTTTTTAAGGACGTGTACTCTGAAGCTTGGAAAGTAAGCGTACAACGATCCACATATTGAACATTTGAATGGGAATTCGGCTTGAACAGTTGTGACCGTTCCATGAACGGCTACAAAATGGTGTCTTAAGTCATCAATGTATCCTTTGATTAACATTTCGCATTGTTCAACGTGGCATTTGAAACCTTGAAGAAAAAAAAACTTGATTTTAAAATCATGCAATCTTATTTCTTATTTATTAAATCCTAAATCTTAAATCTCGATGAACATTTCAAGTGGTCCTATCTGCTTTGATCGATTCTCTTAATCGACTATCTCTTTTGATAACCACGGCTATGCAAACACACTTCGTACTAGTTTTGCCACAAAGTTTAATACACAGCAGTTTTTTTTTTATCTAGCGTTTGGAATCTCGTGCCCTAATGGTGATAAGCTCCAACCGGTAGTATCCTCGAATTAAATCCCGATCAAAAAAAAAATATCGCAATGACCTCTTTGCAGCTGTTTGGATGTAATATTCAACAAATTTTTTTTCTGTGTAGGATCAGTAAAAAATATTAAAATCATTTCAGGGGAGACATGTCAGAAGGGTCTAACTCGAAACGTAAACAATGACTTGGATCGTCGGTTTCTTACGAATGACTACATACCCACTCAAACTAACTAAATCATCTTGAGCTAGAGCTTGAGCTTGATTGACCGCCCACGGTTGCTACTCTGTTATTGCCAGATCAGCTGTAATTACACAGAGAACCAATAGACGATGCTTGGGACTAGCAATCATCCTCAATGTGTAAAAACTGGTGATCTTAAATTAGGCAATACCAGCGCCGGCCGCGTCCAAACACAGGTCAAGAAAGGAATGGGAAGGATTGTGTTGACATGACACTCGCTTTGATGGAAGCCGAGAACACCTCTGCACTTCCACGAGGAATCACTGGGATGTTGGATAAGAGGGTTGGGTTTGCAGCAGGGTTCGTTTTGGTAAACGATAAGCTGAATTGATGTCCTAACGATCATATAACGCGAAGGAGCTTGGGACTAAACCCACGGTCTTCTGCTCAGTAAGCAAAAACGTTTGTCCCTAGACAGACGAGCACCTTTTTAATCACCGAGTTGCTGTTATTACCATGTAGTCATATTAACAAATAAAACGATTGATGAATCTTGAATGTGGAAGGGCCTGAGATTAGACTCATGATGTTCTGCTCAGTAAGCAAAAACGGTTGCTCTAAGGCCATCGAGCCCCTCATATCACATAATACCGTTGCTCAAATTTTTGTATCCATTCAAACCCGGAACCAACGACAACAACGAGTTTCGCAAAATACACGATACACAAGCGATTTAACCATAAATCTCTTTGATATGTAAGGACCTGGGACCGCATTTTTCTGCTCAGTAAGCAGGCCACTGTAACCGACGATCTTTCAAATCCGAAAACTAAAAACTACGAAAAAGTACTTAGGCCTTCATTAAGTTCCACTTTCACGCTACGTTCAATGACAGGGTCCTATCCAGGATTACATCTGAAAAATCCAAATCTGGCCAACGCCCACCTTAAACCTAAACCTGCTCTAATCCACCTGAAATGACTAACGAATGGAAGACTTTGACTACCCAGCCATGCAATAGTCTCATTCCGTGCCTTATGGCAACTTGATGATTCTATTGCGCTCATCTTCTGGCATCACCCAGGGGAGACTTGGTCCTGTACCCAATGCTTAACTTATCTCCATTCCACTCAGCTACTCGTAATTTATTGTTATATAGTGGGCGAAATATTATTATATGAGATAATTCAATGCAGACGTCTTTCCAAATTTGGCAGATCGACAGGTAATCGGTGAGTTACCACGATAGTTGCTATTCAACAACTCGACAACGTCCCATCGTCAACGCCTGCTATGAGAATTTCCCATTGCAGACGCCAACGAAATGACGTCATCAAGCTATCGATCAACTACCCTGGTTATCGCCTGGTAACTTATAGCACGATGCTAGGAGGCGAACCGGAAGAATCGATGAGCTACCTCTCCCCCTCAAACTAACTAAATCATCTGACAGAGAAACGACGTTCAAAGTCATTGTTTACGTTTCGTGTTATACCCTTCTGACAAGTTTCCCCTGATTTGTATGGATATTTTCGGTTACCTGAACCGCCACTTCCAACCAGCCACCCTCTTCCCCTCCTACATTCCCCTCGGGTTTTTTATGGTCCATATTCCAGCCACATGATTGCATTCAACTATAAAACTCATCATAAAGTATAGTCTGCTAAGATGCTGATATCAGTATAATGAACATATACTTGCACAAATGTTCCGGATCTTTCGGAAGATTCTTCAAACAAGCACAATTAAAATGCGCTTATTCTAGCAAATTGAACTACACGTTGGCGTATAACTTTTATTCAGCAATAATGTTTGTTAAGCATCCCGTAGCATCCAGTCAGAGTCCATTTCCACCACAACGTTGAATCCAATCTTAAAACTTATGCACAATTATCGATTACTTTTTCGTCGGGACGTATCAGCTTTTGTAAACAATGCATTTTATCGTCGATTTTGCGTAACTGAAAACTCGCCCACGCACTACCATCAGATGTGGGAAATTTTCCCTTACCTAATAGTGGTGTTAGAATGCGTGGGCGAGCTAGCAATTAAGTCAAACTCACGATTAAACGCATTGTTTACAAAAGCTGATACATCCCTTCGAAAAAGTAATCGATAAGTGTTTTCATTGAAGAGCAACTTTTTCCAAAAATCCACGTGTACACATATTTAGAATAAAAAAGAACTTAATTACTCTTACCAGTCAGTTTCTGATAAGACCCACTATCCAGTTTTTTTTTTTGAATCCGTTCCATTGTGCGATGTGATGTGGTGATACTGTCAGTTGGGAAAACTATTGCCGGATAAGCTGTAATGACACAAAAAAAGCAACATGAAATTTACATCTTAACATAATGAAAACAAGTAGGGGAAAATTCGGCTTTGGCAATACCTTAACCATCGTCAGGATGGTAAACAAAGTCCCAGAGCACTCAAGCTTGGCCAATAGATGCTCTGAAACACAATGTATCCACATGCCAAAATTGAGCTCTCAAGAACGTTGTTTACCCCCTGACGATAATAGAATAAGATATTGCCGAAGCCGTCATTTACCCTATCTCTATAATATGTTAAAACTTGAAATCGGTTTCGCGAATCCAGCTGCGGTATTGTCCTAATGATAATATTTATGGTACAAAAAAAAACTGGTGCTCGATTTCCAGAACCGATTTCGTTTTTCGACGGGGGTTTTTGGGATCGGTTTGATAACCGAAATGAAAATTTTCACTTCGATGGGGATCTGGCTTCTTTTAATAACCTTTAACTATATTTCAACTTACTTACCTGATATATTTTGACGCGACACAAACAACAACCGATATTTAACCAAAAACACTCCGAAAATCTATCGCACTCCGCACTGCACGACGCCACAAACCCAAGTGACAAATGCGCTAGAGAAAAATTTTCAACCAAATTTAAGTTTATTTTACTCAACATCGAGTTTAGCTGAAATAGTCGATAATGAGTAGTTTTGAACTTAGACAACTAGAACTTGGTGATGTAGAAAACTAGAAAATGTCTAAGTTTATTTTTACCCAAAATTATGTTTATGCGATACACTCAATAATTGAGTAGAAATGATTTAAATGTCGATTCAAAATCAACGCAAAAGGGCACTATAATCAACCGGTGAACACTCGTGTTTATTTCAGTTACCGTGGGACGTAATTTGTGATGAGCCCCGGTCCCTTTCAAATTGTATCATTATTTATGTACGGTCCTTATATTTTAAATGACGTTTCACATTCATCTAGTGATGGCCGATTTTCATTCGAATAATCGATTAATCGATTAACGAACCGAAAAGTAAACTATTTGTAATCGGTTAGATCATGCCGATATAAGCATTAACATCTCCAGAGGATCATCACCGATCGTTTCAAACGTGCTACACTCTCATTGGTGGAAAAATGGCAGCACAGCGAACAAAAAAAAGTAGAAGGGTCTGTGCCTAGGGGCACAAACGGAAGCTTGACGTAGGACCGCTAGTGGACGGAATAAATGTGAAGAGCATTAAGTTCTTTTAATTGATCAAATCAGGCATAACATTTGATAACGGCACAAAAGCATTTGTAAACAAACATTCTAAGGCCCTTTACACGCGAACTAAAGTACGCCCACGCAAACCAATACCACTTACGGAAAGGTGATAGTTGCCCCTATGCGATGGTGTTGTTGGTTTGCGTGGGCGTACTTTGGTTCGCGTGTAAAGGGCCTTAGAAGGTTTGTTTACAAATGCTTTTGTGCCGTTATCAAATGTTATGCCTGAAACATCTATTATCTCAACTCTTTCCGGTTTTGAATTGTAGGCGATCCAAATTTGTAGTAATCTTTTTCAAAAAGAAAGTTGATTACGAGAATCAATCAAAATCACTTGCACCCCTGCTTCCAAGTTTGTGTGGTCTTGGGGGCTTGTGGTTCTGAATATGGACAAACAAGCATAGATAAATTCTATTCCAACTCTTCACTGATGTAAGCTTGATGGCCCTGAAAAGGGCCGTTTTATTGAAGAGGACATCCATGGCCACTTACGCTTGGCGTGTTTAGTGTAGGTGACAGCATCACGGACCTCATTTTCCACGAACACCTTCAGCACACCTCGTAGATCAGACCGGAGATACGTCAGACACTGCGACGACGAGCCAGACGACGGATGGTGGTTATCTCGAAGAATTTGCGATGACGATTGGCACCTCCTTTGCCACGACCTACTGCTGCTATTGCTCACCACGCCGTCCGAAGCGAAAATGAGCTGATACCAGTTTTAGTTTAGTTTAGTTTAGTTTAAATGATCTTTATTTCAGTTTAACTTGGACGATTACCATATAAATTTTTTTTACTAAGTGATTTAATTGCTTTCTTCATCTTTAGGTATGGGCAAAATTCAAAATTTGTTTTACAGAATTAGTCCTAGACTTAGTACACGGTCGACCACCTTGGTGGGATTGGTTTGTTTTGTTTTTAGAATTTGAAGAGAAACTACTTAAAACTAACCTACTCTACTATATACACTTAACCTACTATGTACAAATTGCTTATTAAAGCATGTTCAGAAAGATTGCATTTTTGAATAAATTTGGTTGTCATATCATCAATTTTGGAATCTACTTTGGGAATTTCTGCCTCTTGATGGAGGTCTGCTATTCTTGTGTCGAATGGACGATCTAGGATCATCCTCAACACTCTATTCTGTGCAACCTGGATTTTGTTCCTGTGGGTCTGAGCGCACGATTCCCACACCGGGACGGCATAGAAGATCCCGGGGGCTATGATCTGTTTGTAAACAGCCAGTTTGTTTTGCCTTGAGAGGCGGGATATGCGGCAAATGAGCGGATACAAACACCTAACCAAGGCGGAGCACTTAACTAGGGTTTTCTCTATGTGCGAGCGGAACAGGAGCTTCTCATCGAACAACATCCCGAGATAAGTAACATCAGTGGACCACTCGACCCTTGTACCATCCATTATTACGGTACAGGAGGGAGACGGTTTAAGTTTTGGTGATTGTCTGTGAAGGAACATGATCGCTTGGGTTTTCGAGGCGTTGATTTTGATTTTCCACGTGGTGGCATAATAAGTAAAGGTGTCAAGGCATCGTTGGAGCTTGTTCGTAATTTCACGAGGCATCCTACCCTTGACGGCTATCGCGGTGTCATCTGCGAACAGAAAGAACACGCAACCGTCTCCTAGAGGAGGGATGTCCGACGTGTAGATGCTGTAAAGCAGTGGTCCCAGCAGACTCCCTTGCGGAACACCTGCTGGGATCGGAAATTGTCCCGAAAGGGAACTATTCAACGACACCCTGAACGACCTTTGCTGGAGATAGTTACGGGTGATTTTCACAAGGTATGGTGGAAAGTTGGAGTTACAAAGCTTGTATATAAGTCCGTCGTGCCAGACATTGTCAAACGCCTTTTCGACGTCTAACAAGGCCATGGCTGTGGACTTGGATACAGCTTTGTTACTTCGGATGTTATTCATCACCCGCACTAGCTGATGATTGGTGGAATGCCCCTTGCGGAACCCGAACTGTTCCGGAAGAAGAATGTCATGTTCCTCCACAAACTTGTTTAGTCGGCTGAGGATCAATTTTTCGAACAGCTTGCTCAGCGCTGAGAGCAGGCTAATCGGTCTGTAGCTTGACGGTAGTGAAGGGTCTTTCCCAGGTTTGCGGATCGGGATGATTTTTGCCACCTTCCAGATGCTTGGAAAGTAGTGCAGCTCCAAGCATCTGTTGAGGATGGCAGCCAGCAGCGAGTGGACCCTCGGGCTGAGATTTTTCAACGCTAGGTTGAATATTCCGTCAAACCCGGGAGCCTTCATGTTTTTACTATATTTCAGCGCTGAGCAAATTTGTTCCTCTATAATCCGTTCTTCTGGAGGTACGGCACAAGGGGAGGTATCTAACGTCTGGACGCACTGCACAACCTGGTTCTCGAGTGGACTTGGGATTGTAGAGCCAAGCAAATGCGACTGGGCAATGTGCTCCCCAATTGCATTGGCCTTCTCTTCGTTGGTGATAAGCCGTTCGTCATTGACTCTAAGTGGTGGAATGGGCTTGGGGTGAGACTTCAGCACCTTGGCAACCTTCCAGAATGGTCTGGAACGGTCGTCCAGGTTCTGAACGAGCCGCCCGAAACTCTCGTTCCGGATTGAGATCATTCTGGAAGCGATCTGCCGATTCAGATCGACCATTTCGCATTTACACTGCAGATCCCCAGTCCGCTGAAACTGGCGTCTACGAACATTTCTGAGCCGAATCAAGAGTTTGGTGTGGGAATCAATTGCTTGAAACTTACCCCTCACAGGAACTCGTCGAACGCACTCTTCGTCAGCAATGGATATGGCTTGATGGAGACCCTCCAGGGCCCGGTCGATGTCCTCCACTGTGTCGAGCGGTGGGTTGTCGTCGATGTGGCGGTCGACCACGCGTCGAAACTGGACCCAGTTGACTCGATGGTAGTCCTTCCGCTGGCACGGTGCAGGGGCCACGTTGTAGCCCAGCTCGGTCAGCACCGGTTGGTGGTCCGAACTCAGGTCGTTGACGGCAACCGGCTTGGCTAATCTGGTGTTTGCCAAGAACAGGTCCAGCGTCGATGGGTTGCCCGTCGGTGATGTGAAGGTTGGTTCGTCCGGAAACCAGACGGAATAGAGACCATGCTGGGAATGGTCGAATAGCAGGCGGCCGTTCTGGTTCTGCTGGTAGTTCTGCCAGGCCTCGTGCTGGGCGTTCAGGTCCCCTCCGATTACGAAGCGGGCATTGGTGCGGGTTATGATGGCAAGGTCGTTCTTGAACTGCTGTGCTGTACCATTGCTAACGGTACATTGCCGGGGGCAGTAGACAACGATGAACCGGACGTTTCCGGTCGATGTTTCCACCTCAACGCCGACGGCCTCGATGATGGAAGTGCGGTAGTGGGGTAGGGTGCAGTACTTGATGCCTTTCTTGATGATGACCGTGACACCGCCCCCCCTGGAGCTGGTGCGATCAAGCCGGACAATGCTGTGGTCGGGCAGCCAGAAGCTGTCACCGGTCTTGAGGTGGGTCTCGGTGAGAAGGCCCACGTCGATGTCGTGCTTGCGGAGGAAGTCTGCAAGCTCAATGTTTTTCGCCCCTACGGAGCGAGCGTTCCAGTTGGCAATCTTTATGGGTTCACGGTCCATAATTAGCGACGAAGGAGATGATAGCTTGGAGCTGTTGTGTTCTTGTTGCGTAGGTGCGCTTGATGATGATGGCCTGGGCCAACAGTGT